CCCCAAAACCCCAAAACCCCAAAACCCCAAAACCCCAAAACCCCAAAACCCCAAAACCCCTCATCTAAAATTAAAATTTGAAGATAAATATGAATTCAGCAATATTTAGTCAGATCTCTTAGGATGGCATCCAATTGTCGTATAGTATTCTTTAGTCGGCATCATCAGGATTTCATGCGAGTGAACTATTTCAAAACTACCGTTTAACTGGTCTTCTGAACTTTTATCCTCTTGAACAGGTTCTTCATTTAGCTTTTTGTCAGAAATCTGGTTGAATTGATGCTTGGTTGCCTTGGAAAGAGTAAGGTTTTTGGGTTTATCAACAATAGTGTAGTCAATTCTTGTAGGATCTGGATTATCTTCATCATTACTGTCAATATCATTAAATTCGCCTTCAGGGTTTTCTGGTTCTTTTCCATCTTCGATCTTAGCATCACTGGGGTTATGGGGTATAATAACCTCCTGAACTTCTTCAATCTTATTCAACTTTTCAAGCATCTCTCGGGTTTTCCTCTGGGTCTCTAATTCTTCTGGAGATAGTTTGTTATTTGATTCGAGCTCTTCATCAATTTTATCAGATTCTAATTGGCTCTGGTTGTTGTTCCTGTCGAATTTTGGACTATTTTTAGGTGACTGGTCAGCATTATTTGCTTCTTCTGGAGGATCTTGCTGTAACAAAGGCTCGCTGGATTGAGATTGCTTCTCAGTTGGTGTTTCGGGTTGAGATTCTTCTTGTGGACTCTCTTCATTCTGATTTTGCTCTTCTTCGGGTGGATTAATATTGGTATCTTCTTGAGTTTCTTTGTTAGTAAAGGTCGGGATTTCATTAGAATTTGGCTCTTTGTTCTCTTCAATATTGACTTTATTTTTATTGAGAGTACTATTTGAACTTATGGTATCTTTAGAACTTATATTTGTTGGTGATTTTGACTCTTCTTCAGAGTCGTTCATGACAACAAACTCATCTTCAACTTCATTAGCATCTTGGAGGTTGTTTTCAGAAACTTCATCAGGGATTTCTGGCTCTGGAGGCAATACATTTTCTCCATTGTCCTGCTTTTGCTTAAATTTCTTCATTGTATTTGAATAATGTTGGTTGAATAATACGCTTTCTTTAGCGTTAAACATTATTGCATTTTGATCAGAGACATCAAATCCACTGGAAGGAGCATCAAAGAAGGAGGCTTGTCCGGGTCCTCTGCTTACAGCAAGATCTATTTGTTCTGACTCTTCATCTTCCATTAGGAATGGATGATCGAGGACATCACTGTGATCTATCCTCTTTTCTGGCCTATGCTGCAAACATTTGTTGAGTAAGTCAACGCATCAGAGAGAAAGTTTGATGTTTTTAGGAACTCCATAGTCTCCTTTATTGACTCTCTCTGCGAGATCATTAGGATCACATCCTGTAAATGGAGCAAATCCCACAAGGAGCTCGTAGATCATTGTTCCAAGCGACCAAATATCAACTTTGGAATTATATAAGGTTCCATTCATTATTTCAGGGGCCATGTTGAGAGGAGTACCTCAATAAGACATTGCCATGTCTGTATTGGCCATTGATTTAGCAAAACCTAAATCACCAATGATCACTTCAATTTCTTCTTTTTCATGGTCGAAATTTTCAATGTATTCGTCAGAGACGACTCTGCCTGACTTACAGTCTGGGAAATTGATCAAAATGTTATCCAACTTAAGGTCCCTATGCATAGCATTATTCTCATTGAGATAGTTGAGACCAGCAGCAATTTGTTTGACAATTTTCTTGACTAAACTCTCTTCGAGTCTGCCTCCTTTGAGCTCAAGTAGCCTTCTGAGGTCTCCGCCATTACAAAACTCAACGAAAATGTATATATTATTACTGGTTTTCTTGGCTTCGAGGAACCTGAGTATATTTTCATGCTTAATCTTCATCATAATTTCAATCTCTTGCACGAGGTACTTTTTGATCTTCTCTTTGATCTTCTTCTGTTTGATCATTTTGCAGGCCACCCTCCGGCCCTTTCTCATTCTTTGGCGACATTCCGGCTCAATGTTCTCTTCTTTTTTGATTTTGCAAAGGTAGACTGTTCCATAGGCACCTCCTCCGATTATGTTTCAGAGGTAGAAGTTATCGACTGCTTTCATTTTGGAAAATAATTATAATTTCTTAGAACTTGGGGTTTTGGGGTTTTGGGGTTTTGGGGTTTTGGGGTTTTGGGGTT